GTTGCAATTACTATATAACTTATCCTACGAAAGGGTAACAGGAAAATCGGTTGGTAAAACAAAAAATTGTACTACAGTAAAGTCGTACAATTAAAAAAAAACTGTTTTTGAATCAAATCATCATAATAAGTTAGGAAGAGTCAAATTAAATACACTATAAGGCTTTTTAGTACAAAAAAATATTAGGAAAGATTTTTTCATCTTTTATTATTCGATATTTATCTATACACGGCATACATAGGTTAAATATAAAATAATTAATACAAACAAAACAAAATATTATTTTGTTCAATACCTTCTCTAGCAAAACTCCTTGCATCGTAGTAGCAGAATACTTTATTTGGAGTATCGGCTGCAGCAAGTTGCACTGCAGCGAAGCAGGCCGTCGCCAGCAGCAGGGCTCTTTCCTAACATCTTGCAAATAACTATATCACGTCTGCAATTGATCGATGTTCACTACTTAAAGTTTATCAATACACTGATTCTTGACGTCGGTAACTTGCAGACTTCATTTATGAAGAGATGTGTTTACAATTTTGTTGAGCAGGGGTGGCAAACATTTATAGCCAATTAATTGGTTGAAATAATTAGTAATACTTTTCTATAACACGACAATAGCAAAAAGGGTATTACCATTATTATCATATCAATTTTTCAAAAACTTTACAAATGACAGTACCTGTTTGTATATTTTCTATCTCAGTATTTTGAAATAGTTATACAGACTTCAAATTCAGCAATAAGTTTTTTTGTATATTTTATATTTTGATTATGGATTATACTTTGCTATTTATGCTCGATGCAACAAATAGATTTTTAGATCACAAAATTTAGTCATTTGTTTTATAAACTTAACCCAAATATAGTTAAATTTAACTTTGAATGTTAATTACTATAAGAATAAGATACTACTTGTTCAAAATCATTTTTTTTGTTCAATAAAGTATAATTAGTAGAATATTAATACGATGCAGTTAAGGTAGTACGATTGCTTTGAAAAAAAAAGTTGAGAATTTCCAAAATATGCCAAAATAAAGAAAACATTTTTTTCAATAATTTTTTTTTTCAAAAAAAGTAATTTTTTATCAAATATATAGTTTCTTAAAAATCTAATTTTTTTTAAATAAGTTTTTTTAAAAAATGTTAATCGTTTTTAAAAAAATAATAATTTTTGGTACGGGAGGTTCCAGCAATTTGCCTTAAGGCTCAATGCCATGCGCTCCACTAGTTTTTTTATAAGTTGACAAAAGTCCCAGAATTGTATATCACGTTTGATGAACTCAATTTAAAAAGATTTTTGATTTAAGATCCCCAGCAGGAAACAACTTTTCGATAATTTCGATACTAGAATTAAATGCATATAATTGCCCCAGTTTACGTTCAGAAATTAAAGAAAATCAAATAAAATTCATTCATTCATTCATTAAAACCATTAGTTATACGAGTTTATCTAATTATTTATTATATGTATGAGATTAATTTGATTTTTGAGGAATATACAAATTGAAATATAAGACATAATATATTTATATATCGTTCTATATAAAATAATATTAATAATTGGATAATATAATGGCAAAATTAAATGTTTTTTTATTTCCGCATTGCTTGAAATGAATAATTAAAATATAATTGCAATATTTAATTTTTGCAAAATATAAAACATTAATAAAATTACTTGCACAATAAATAACGGTCAATAACTTCTAAATTGTAAATATTGTAAAATATCAGTTTTTTTTGCTGATTTTGTAGAAAACAGTATCATCGCCCTGGTCTTTGTGCGTTAGTCCAATGAACGCACACACGCGTCAGGTTCATGTTAATTATGTAATATTCGCCCATAAATTAATAAAGTATTTTCTTCGAACCCGCCTTAATATAATTAATTTACTAGGCGTTTCTTCCACTGATTTGTAACAATCAAACAATCAGAAAAAAATAGTGCAAATAATAATGGTTGTCCAGTCATTAAAATATGGGCAATCTATTATATTTAAATAATAGATTTTTCTTTCTATTTTGTTGTTTTTTATTTTAACAGCAATCTTCGTGTTATATAATCTATTTTTAGTTTTTAATTAACTACAGTACTTGAGAAGGCAACCCAGCGGTCAAACATCATTTTTTATATGTAGACTATTAGATATGAGATTATATTTCAAATCCACTACCTCGAGAAATTTCTATTATATTGCTCGATATCAAATAGCCGGCTGCTGGGGTTGTGCTGGTCTTCAACTAGTTGGTGCTAGTCCACGATTTTAGCAATTATATCA